CTCGGAATTTTTGAGAGAAGTTTTTCATCATGATTAACTTGTTTGTTCATACTATCGAGCTTAAGAGAGCAAATGATTTGATCTTGTTCTAAAACCACTTCACTGTACTTAAGCCTTTCATCTATTAACTCTCCCACTTTTGTTTCAAGCCTTATCTTGGCTCTCGTGGCTTCCTCGAGTTTAGACTCAAGCTCAGTGATTTGTGATTTAAGATGATCATTTTCAGAAAGGTTTTGATTAAGCTCAATAGTCAATCTTTTGAAAATTTTCCGGGCTTTGGTTTTGGATAGAGAGTCAAACTTAGATAGAAAATTTTCAAAGTTTACCTCGAAGCTCTCTTGGTCAGATTCCTCGTCGGAGTGTGCCATAAGACATAGACCTGTATGGTTAGAGTTCTTATCCCTCTCCTCTTCTTCGTCATCGGATGAGTCTCCCCATGCTGCCATCATTGCCCTTTTGAGATCTCTTTTGAACCCTTTGTCTTTGCTGGACCTCCGGTTAGAACTGGACTTGTTCTTGTCGTAGGTCCGGTCATTTTTCTTTTGTGAACAGTCTTTAGCCCTGTGCTCAAGGGAACCACAAACAAAACAGCCTTGGTTATTAAAAGATTGAAAGTTATTTTTACCTTGTTTGTTCCGGTTGTTCTTGAACCGTCGGTACATCTTCCCGAATTGTCTAGCAAATATGCTCATCTCATCTTCCGATTCACTTTCGGATTCTTCCTCCTCTTCTCGAGCTTTTAGAGCAATTCCTCTCTCTCGCCTTACAGTCTCAGCGTCTTGCTCTTCTTGAAGCCCTAACTCATATGTCAAGAGTGAACCGGTCAAGTCTTCAAGAGTCATGGTGGATAGGTCCTTTGCTTCCTCAATAGCCGTGGTCTTAGGCTTCCATACCGAGGGCAAGCTTCTCAAAATTTTTCTCACTTGATCTTCCACAGTAATTTCCTTTCCAAGGGCTGAAAGCTCATTGATGATATTAGTAAAACGTGTAATCATATCCTTAATTGACTCTCCAGGCTTCATTACGAATAATTCGTAATTACGCATAAATATGTCAATTTTAGATTTTTTTACACGTGAGGTACCTTCATGAGTAACCTCGAGCAAATCCCACATTTGTTTGGCAGACTTGCATCCTAGAACCCGGTTGTGTTCGGCAGGACCAAGTCCACAAATCAAATATTTTAGTGCTTGGGCATTATGCTCGAGTTTTTTATAATCATCAGTAGTAAATTCAGATTTAGGTTTAGGAACAACATTACCTTCGCCGTTTAGCTTTGTGATGACATTGTCGCCACCTTCTATCACATTCCATACCTGATAATTATCGGCTTTGATAAAGTTCTCCATCCGACTCTTCCAGAACTGATAGTATTTCCCATTGAACAATGGTGGTCGTTGAGTCGAGTAACCTTCTTCCAATCGGTCAACCGTATTCATTTTGCCGGATCTCTTCCCAAGGTATTAACCTCTATGTGGTGAAGACCGGCTCTGATACCAATTGATGAACACGGTTAGCAACACAAGAGGGGGGGTGAATTGTGTGTGTGTGGAACCGTGGCAGTTTTTCGCCGAGTTCTAGTGTGGGATAAAGGGAATTGCGAAATAGTAAAGTGCACAAGAATTTAACGAGGAAAAATCCCTTGGCTCAAAGGGATTAAAAAACCTCGACCTCCCTCGGAGGAATTTTAACAACTTCACTAAAAAGCCTTTGAATGATTACAAGGGAAACTCTCCTAGTCTACCCTTGAGCCACCCCAACTCTATCCTCTCTAGGAAGAGTTACGCTTCTCTACCTTGCGGGTAGAGAGCCTCTCAGCTTTACAACAAAGCTCTCACCACACAAACCAACCCGAGGAGGCTACTCTTAGCCAATCCTCAAAACCCCATTACAATAAGAAGGGAAAGAAGAAACTCTATCTAGAACTTCGAGTGAGCAGTTTCAGGTGCCTTGAACTTTGTATTTTTCTCGAGCCTGTCTCTTGATATTTCTCTAGTTACGCACACACTTTTTCTTTCTGGTTGCTCGATTATATAGTCGCTTGAGATGAGTCCGTTGAAGCTTTCCTTGTATAAATGATTCTTGCCTTGTTATATTTTGAAAAGCTTTCCATCTTGAAAGCTAGATCCTCATCCGTGCATGGAGATTGATTTGCTCAAAAATAATTGCTACCAAGATATTTTATACACTTATCATAAATAGAGATGCACACGGATCATTCAGAGATGTCAACATCTCAAAAAGTATTTATTTAAATAAGAAATTAAAGCTTTTTGAATCAATCTAAAAAGCTACGGTCAACAAATTGCAAGGCAACTTTCCAAGCTGATTTGAAAATATTTCCTTTCAAAGCAGGCTACGGTCAAAGTCATTTATAAGCAAGACAAACTATGTATATCATGCAATCATAATATACCAAGTAAAGAAACTTTCCATAAAGTGATATGCCACTCAAATAAGCACTTATATAATCAAATTACGTATATATTATTCCCTATAATATTCTTGACAAAGAATGATCACTCACATAAGGAAAGCACATTAATTAAGTAGGTGCAATCAATATTAATTCAAACCATATCACGGGACAAGAACTGGGAGAGGTTCTGTCCGTCGTTCCACCTGCATGGTTAGTACGTCATCAAGTATAGACCAAAAGTAACACCAGTCATTTGTCATCAACAAAACAATATGTGCCAACACTAATACTTACTCTGAGATAGATGACTGGCCCTATTGCATTGGAATAGGGGACATATTTCTTCCTAACAATTTTAGGATCAGTCTTTAGAGACCGGTCCTTATTTAAAACAAAATAACAAGCCAAAGGAATATTGACATGAGTGGCATAGTTCATATTAAACTTACACAAGACTTTCTCAAGATAAGAAATTGGATTCAAAGTGAGGGAACACCTACTTCTATCCCTAATGATATTAATAATGCCTAGGATTATTTTTGCATCACCAAGATCTTTCATAGAAAATTCTCATTCATGCATTTTTAACATGTTTAATAGCATTTAGGGAAGGACTTATAAGCAAAATATCATCAACATAGATTAACAAGAAAATAGGAACAGAGGTAGTGATCAGAAGCAGATTTCTTGAAATTTAAAGATGACATGCATTGATCAAACTTAATATTCCACTGTCTGGGGGACTATTTAAAGACCATAGACGGCCTTCCTAAGAAGACAAACATGTTCACTATTTTTGGGGTCCACAAACCCCAAAAATAATCTGCTTATCAAGGTCACAAAAATGCAGTGGTGACATCCATCTACTTCATTTCCCAGTTATTAGGGGCAACTAGGACAAGCACCATCCTAGTAGTAGTGAACTTAACTACATAAGCAAATATTTCAGCATAGTCAACGTCCTCTTTTTGGGTGATACCCTTAGCAACTAACCTAACTTTGAACCTAATGTCATTTGGTTTTTCTTTAACCTTAAAGAGCCATTTGCATTCTATTACAGAACTATTAGGTGGCCTAAGTACAAAAATTCAGGTTTTATTCACTCAAAGTGATTTTATTTCACTTTGCATAGCACTAAGCCATGATTCTTTTGATGTCAGGACTTCCTTATACGCGGACTGAGGTTCATTTATGTCTAGGACTTCAAAAACAGAAAAGGAAAATAAGGAAGTATCAAACACATGAAAAGCATAGTCAAACATGTTATCAGAAGTCTTCCTAATGGTTCTTCAAGTTCTGTCCCTAGCCAATTGATAGTCATTGAGACTCAAATGTTCAATATTAATCTCCTGCAGTTCACTATTATCGGTCAAATTAGTATCAATATTCACTTAATGAAGACCTTCATTATTTTCAGACTCATGTTGGTCATCCACCTCATTAACGATGGGGGAACTTTCTACTTCAGTGTGAGGGGTTCCTGGCATATCAGAATTATCAAGCAAAGAACTAGCAGGAAATAACATGGGCTCCACCTCACTGGGAGACTTATTAGATAGACTCAGGCACAGGATTGGGAACAGGTTGGACCAAACACGGGAAGTCAAACTCATTGAAAACTACATTCCTACTAATAATGACCTTAAAACCAATTTGGTTTATATCCCATATCCTATATCCTTTTGCTCCTTCAGGATAACCTAGGAAGACAAACTTTTTGGACCTAGGTTCAAGCTAATGGTCTTATTCTCGTCTATATGTAATATAACATTTTTCATATATGATGTATCCAAAGTAAACAAACAAAAGAGAGCAGTGGCGGATCCAGGAAAAGAATCTATTGGGGGCGGAAAAATAAGTAAAGTACATCCAAAAAAAGTGTAACAAAGTATATTTGGTAGCAAAAAAATGTAATCAAGCACATGATAAATGTCCCCACTTTTTTAAGGTATATTACACTATCACAAGCCTTGATAAAGTAGTTCATGACTGCTCAGTGTGAGTTTTCATCCCTTTGATTAGGATGATAATCATAAATTTGTCTTCTTTTCACGGGATCACAATATTCTCCAAATACTTCTTTATAATATATGACACAAGGCATTGAAGAAGCACATTCAGAAGTACTATTAATATATGATACAATTGTATTTGAGAAAATTATAATATTGGTTACACAGTCCCACCTTTTCGTTATTCATGAATAATCCAACCTTTGCACCCCATCTTCATTCACTGGTCCCTGACCCGTTGATAACCTGCTATTTCAAGTTATTTTCTTATCTTTGCAAACCATTATATCATAAATCTCACCTTTCCCAAAGATAATATTTTGTAAAGATAAGAAAATAACTTGGAATAGCAGGTCATTAACGGGTGAGACTATTGTAAGAAGACTGCTAAAAGGTTGGATTATTAGTTTCCATTTTCCCTTATTTATATATGTTGCACAGAAATGAGAAAATTATGAAGAAACGGGAAACTAGAAACATCATCTTTTACTCGAAAAATAATTGTTTGGAGAGTTTTCAAAGAGTTCGTATAATTTCATAACCGAAAACATACTCTTTTTCAAGAGTTTCGGTGCTACATGTAATCATAAAAAATGAAACAAGATCCTAATTAACAAACTTATTAATTGTACTGCTAGCTTCTCTACTACTTTGTGTTTAATTTGTTTCACATTTTTAAGTCCTCAGTGATTTTTTTATCAAAAGCCGCAAATGGCTTAATCTGAAAGTAGTCGGAGTGGGACTCAAGGGGCGGCAGAATCAAGCAAGTATGGAACCACATACTGCTGCATTTCAGGAATGGTTATTTCCAAGTGATTTCCAGGCACCTTGATGAACTTCACTTTTCCTCCTTCATCTAATGTTCTCAACCCGAATAAATCCTCTTTGTAAGCATTTGTCTGTTCAACCGATCGAAAACAGGGGTAAGAAAACAAATATACAACTCGATCAATACCAATAATGATCAATCTCAGTTAAGGTGATCAGTGTTATGCAGAATCTTAGTGCATGCAGCAATTAGATGGGACGTGCATATATATAAGGGGAAAAACAAATGTGGTTCTGATCTTGAACTGTCTCTCTTACACCACTTTTTGATACTCCTCCTTAGCTTCCTCCCAAAAAGATTTGTTAAATGACTTGATTGATGATAGTTAACTTTGACCAATAATATTTTTTAATATGAAATTATTTTGAATATGAAATCATATCAAAATGTTCCTTACTTGTCATATAATTAAGTACAAAATGTCTAAGGATGTTTTCTTTTGGACTGAAATTTGCTGGTCTGGTCTGGTCTGTTTAAGTCTGGTCTGGTCTGGTCTGGTCTGTTTAAGTCTGGTCTGGTCTGGTCTGGTCTGAACTGGTCTGGTCTGGTAAACGTCTGGTCTCTGTGTATTTTATAACTACGGAAGTCTGGTCTGGTCTGGTCTGGTCTGTTTAAGTCTGGTCTGGTCTGGTCTGGTCTGTTTAAGTCTGGTCTGGTCTGGTCTGATCTGTTTAAGTCTGGTCTGGTCTGGTCTGGGACTGAAAACAGTTCAAAAGAAAACATCCTAAATTATATACAAAAATAACAACTAAAATCATTGTCCAAAATAATAAATGAATGTATAAGACTCAACACTATTATTCCTAATACTTCGTATAAAAGATTTACCTTTGAGAATGATGAAAGTACGTTTCTTGATTTGGGGATACACTATTTATTTCGCCCATTTATTGACCTTAGTTTAATTTGTTTGGCTCGGTGTGGGATGAAGCGTGTGTTTAAATATTTGTGTTGATTGTAGTTGAACCACCAATGGATAAAATATCAAGTCAATTTATAAAGATCTTGGCCCACTTCTACTTTGCAAAACTTATTTCGGGTTAGAGTTTAGGATTTATGCAAAATTTAGGGTTTTGTGACTAAATTTAGTACTCCATAATTAAAGCAAACTCCTTTCATAGGAAATATATGATATATATATATATATATATATATATATATTATGCCTAATTATTAATGGGGATATCCTGAATATAGAATTTAAAGGAAATTTAAGGATAGATAGAGTATTATAGTGTATTGGTTTAAATTGAAATTATTAATTTTTCCTTTTTACCATAATTAAATTATTTGAAACCATTAAGAATCTGAACATAAGTGGCCTAATTTTGAAAAGAATATACGTAGTGCTGTTTTATAGCTTACAAAAATGCATAGAAATCCACAATTAATTCAGAGAACCCTTAAAATCTAAATTGAGGATCCCTGGAGTTCAACATAATTTAATTCCTTATCAATCACATCCCCTTGAAACTACACTACATTATACTACAAGTTCTACTAATTAATAGAGTCATATAGAATACTTACAAAAGTTAAACCATTTCTAATAAAATTAAGAGAAAATTGGGTGTGTATACACCTTTTAGTATCTACATTGAATTGAAGTTAATGTTATGCATTTACAAAAAATGCATAACCATTTACTGTACTTCACTGAAATTTTGTTCCACTCATAACAATTTTCATTTGCATATCAATTATCTTTCCATGAGCAAACTCTATATAAATGAGCTAATTTTTTTTATTAAATATAAATAGTAGCTATCAACTTAATGGCCCCAATTTCTTTGGTTATATAGCTGTGTGCGCGTGTCACCATAAAATAACATATTAAAATAGAGTTAAGTTGAGCATATGAATAAGACAAAAGTATTTCCAGTATTACTAAAGACGTGTTTTTGTCTATATGTGAGTACATATGATTTTTTCCTAAAATGATGGATAATACCATGTATTACTCTTGAAAGTTACTATAATTAATGAACCATGTCCCATGTCTTAGATGATATTTGTAGTCATTTGCACATCCAAAAGCATAGATGGTCATATATTTTGAAAACACAAATGTTTTAGTAATTCTTAGGTATTTTTTCGTAAATATAATTTAATACTATGTAGTAAATGAGAACCTGAAATAGCGATGAGGGATGCATGAGTGCATGGCAGCACTTATACATTCCGAATTTGTTCGCAATTTAGATATGTACAAGAAAGAGTGCGTATGTATAGTGGCGGAGTTAGAAAAAGGACTCGGGGTTGAAATTTAACTATATACAACATCAAAAGGGTGGATCATTTTTAAAAAATACATGAGTTACGTTAAATGTTTCATACTACCTCCGTCCCTTTTTATTTAGGCATCTTTGACTTTTCCAGTTAAAAATGGTCAACTTTGATCCATTTTTTTAAATAATATATTTACGTGAAATTTAATAAATTTATACTTATATGATAGAATAAGAATATTTTCATATTATCAATAATACTGTGTATAAATATAGAATCGGGTAAAGTTTAACATCATTGACTTGAAAAGTCAAATATGGCCAAAAAAGAGACGGAGGGAGTATGTAGTTTAGTTAAAGTTGTTTAAACGAGACTAATACAATTGTAGATTTGATATATGTCATACGAAGTACTCCGTATATATTATAAATTTCACGTAAGTAATGAATGAATTAGACGCTCTTTTAAAATTTGGGAGTATAATCAATATTACGCATCAGATATTACTCGATCATTTCAAGTTTAAATAGTGCTGATTTTACGTGTTGTAATTTTTTACTCTTAATGAGTTACAAGAGTCACAATATATTAAAATAATATTTAGTGCTCTACATTCTCAAACTTTTAGGGGGTCAATTGATCATCATTACCCCTTGAATTGGCTCCACCCCTGCGTATGTAGAAGCATGCATATATTGATATATATAGATCTATCTATAATATATATGTGGTATGTATTACCTGTTGTGGAGGCAAGACGTTAGAGAGGTCTCCGTCAGGATAGTATCCGAACCATGAACTTAGAGTTGGGTTGACAATATCATCGGTTTCGAACTAGAAAAGGTGAAACAAAAGTTAAATTATCCCAAGCTATATATAGTAATACAAAAAAGCTAGAAAGAAAATAAATATAGTCGTATTTGCTTGACAAACCATTATGAGAACCAGATTTTGTAGGCTAATGAATCTCTGCTTGTGAAGAGTATTATTCGCTCCCGGAATTTCGTTATTGATTATTGGTAAAAACCTGCAACCTTTCAAATATCCAGGAATATCCTAGCAAATAGTACGTAAAGGTAGGTAAAGCCATGAATCTGTCACTATTAGTAACGTATAAAACCTAGCTAGCTGCGGTTCAACAAGATATATGCATTATCATGACTTGTTTATAATCATCAACTCATCAAGTATGGTAGGTAATTAGGTGTGTAGTACTTCCTCTCTCCTAAATTGAGTTGCAATTTGTCGATTTTAAGATTGATTGATGATAAAACTAAACATAGTAAGAAATAGTTAAGTTAGTTTTGATAATTAAAATTTACATATTTTGAAACTACATTAAAGGGATAAAGATTTTATAAACAAGTAGCTAGATAAAGTCAAACGTACAGTGTTAAGAAAAAGTTGATTTTGCAAATCGGGATGGAGGGAGTATAAAATACTTCATATACCGTATATATTTTTGTAAGCCATTTTTTTTCTTACATTTGGAAGTTTCGTATAGCCGCTAGGAGCCAAGTGAGCCTGCATTTGAAGAATGTAAAGTATGAGAGATTTATAAAAGGGTACGTAGTGTGGTGAATTGAAATAACCAATTCAATTAATGGCTAAGGAGATGATGAATCGAAGAGGTCGAAGCCAGCTCAATTAATTACTTGGACGTAGTCGGAGTAGACTCCCATTCCAGATACAGAACCTACACCATCACACCAAGCCTCATTCTGCATGCATTATAATTTATATATGTACGTCCGTTAATATGCATATATACATAGGCATCAAGCGATATATACACAAAGTCCTCAAGCAATATATGCATATGTACGTACTTTAGAGAAAAGTATCAATGGTTCACATGGCTACAAGGACGATCTATGTATGAGCTATAATGTGTTGAAGCTCAAGATAGCTTAATTTTTTTCAATTATCTAATGTAAAATTTTTCATTTTTCATATTCAGTTCACTCTACTTATGTAGTTATGTTTAAGTTTAATATAATTGTTTTTCAGCCCATGACATCACAAATTCCTGGATCCACCCCTGTATGTCTAGATTGAGGGCTCTCTAATTTTTTTCAGTCAAACAGATTGGTGTATGGTATAATGGTATTCAGTCAAATAGGTACCACATCAACAAGATCAATTAACTTAGCTAGTGTACGTGTGTAGACTCCTCATATACTAACGACGCAATACCGAAAACTACAATTCGACTGAAAATAAAGAATACACCGCTAAATGTAAATGTGCACAATTATATGTTACTTTAAATTAAGATTTTTCCCAATTTTAATTTATAAGCTACTTTTCTTCTTATTATAATCAAATATTATGGTAGACTTTAGTCCACTGCGTACTAAGAAAACAATACTACGTACTTCAAATGACACCATGTAGATTGGAATTGCTTACACTGCAAGCAGGAACTGAAGCAACACCGGCATTAGGACCACCTACTGATATGAAATTCTTCACCTGTTTCAATATATAAATACCCAACCAACTAATTACTTACTATTTTACACTTAAATTAAGGGATATTTACTAGGATATGACTAAAACTCAATGAGTTTTCCAATATATGACCTAACTAGTTTTTATACCTTTGTATGACCAAAAATCCAAAAACAAATAGAAAATTCGTTTATATTTAAATGTCGAATGACAAAAATACCCTTATTTAAAATATGTGCATTTTGCACTAATTTCATCCAATTAAAATTACTGCATTTTATATTGCCGTTAATGCACAAAATTAATGCATGACTTTACTGAACATCCGGTAATAATCACTGCACTTCCCCTAAAAGTAATGCATTTTATATTTCGTCTAATTCTTTAATTTTCTCATTCGCTCTAGGAATTTATTTGTAACTCTTATTTATTATTTTGTTTTGATTTAATAATTTTATTATTTTTTGTCTAATTAAGTATATTACATTTCATGGTGGCATTACTGCTATGTGTTAATGCAATGGTCATAATCACTGCACTTCCCGTCAACGCATTCAGCCCATATACAATACTATTTATTGTCATGTTCATTGTCTATATTCAACACAATCTATTGCAATGTTCATTGTCAATGTTCAATGCTCCAATTCAATGTCCAAAAACCTAATTTCAAAAAATACAAAAAGAGAAAAACAAAAATAAGATAAGTCTTAGCTATTAAAAGCAGTGCACTCCGTAATAAGTTGGATGATATACAATGCTAGAAGAGTAGAAGTCAAAGTATTTCACCCCCGGCCTTTCAAATCCCAAAGAGACATAAAACCTCATCCGCAAAAAAATTGGGGAAAAGGTGCAAATAGGCCCATGTACTAACCAAAAAAGGTCAAATAAGCCCTTATTTAGGAGGCTTTGTCCGGCCGTCGTCATTTAGGTTGGTTCCCGGTGGAATTTTTTGATGAAATGTTTTGAGCATCTTATTCATCAAGTCTAGTTTACTCATACCAAATTTCAGCTAAAACGTCAATCGGGGAGGCATTAAAATGAATTCTTGAAGATAACTGTGCTTCTAACTGCGCAGTTATTTTCAAGAATTTATTTGAATGCCTTCCCGATTGAAGTTTTAGCTGAAATTTGGTATGAGTAAACTAGACTTGATGAATAATATGCTAACAAAATTTCATCAAAAAATTCCACCGGGAACCACCCCAAATGGCGATGACCGGACAGAGCCTCCTAAATAAAGGGCTTATTTGACCTTTTTTGGTTAGTACATGGGCCTATTTGCACCTTTTCCCAAAAATTTGCGTGAAATTAGACATCTGCCGACAGCCGCACGGACGACCACCAAATTCCTCCACCGCTCTATCTAACCTCTTCCGCCGCTTCCTCGCCATTAGAACTCTGGACGGGGACCCACTCAACGATGATCCTTACTCTATCTCACCTTCTCCATCTGCACGAAGAACATTACTGAGAAAGAGACGAAGGTTACGACCTGAGGCGGCGGCAGGCGGCTGTGCGGCGGACCGTGGGGCGGAGGCGGACGGCGGGTCATGGAACGGGGACGGACAGGGCATGGGACTGCAAGCAAGTGGATTATGGATGTGCGAGAATGGAGGATAGGGTTGGAGAAAAGATTAGGAGTTTAGGGTTTTATAGATATAACTAAAGGGTATATATGTCCACCTAAATAATTTATTTATTTATTTATTACGAATTTTAATTAAATATTATGAATTTTAATATTATTTTGGTAAAAAAAAACTAGTTAGGTCATAGATTGAGAAAGTGAATAAGTTCCAGTCACATCTAAGATAATTATCTCTTAAATTAAATATATATGTGTAAATAAAATTTAACACCTTGTAAGTATAGGGTTTAATGCACCAAACCCCCCTATGATATGAAAATTCGGCGCATTAGTCCCCTGTGATTTGAAAAATGCATGAAACCCCCTTGTGTTTTAATTAATCATGCACAAAACCCCTTTTATGAATAAAATCAATTGTCAAATAAAAGAAAAATGATCAACATTTTTATATGATTTAGAGATTTTGACATATTTACTTGCATATTCAATCAAAATATTAGTAAAAGTGATTTCCAAATCGTTAAATTTATTCATAAAAGGGGTTCTATGCATGATTAATTAAAACACAAGGGGGTTTGACGCATTTTTCAAATGACATGGGGCTAATGCGCCCATTTTCTATATCACGAGGGGATTTGGTGCATTAAACCCCGTAAGTATATGAAGACATGAAGTCCATTTAAAATAGAAGAATTTCTTGGTTTTGTAGTATGTACGTCCATTGTTTGTTTTAATTAAGTTATTCCCTTGCACATCACTATATCATACCCTATCATTTATAAATTTGTCTACGCTAAGGATTTTTACTGGAAATTGTCAAAACTAACCAGAAAAGTCTATATTCATATGATATGTCACTAATTAAATACACACGTGCATATACATATATTTTAAAAAGAGAATAATTATTACTTGTGGTACATTGTCACACAACTCAATCACACCTCGTCCTATTATATTTCCCTGCAAATTAGAAAGGAAAAGTGAAATCCTAATTATTGGATTGAAGTAAAGTTGAATATAAATCAATAAGACTTGTTTTTGAAGATTAAGAACACTGGAGAGACCTGGGAGAGACCAACTAGATTGTAACCTTGTTGAAGCTCTGGCATTCCCCTAATCTGTGCATTTCTCAATGGAGAAATTAACAATTTCAGGACAAATAAAAATAATAATGTTAATAAAAATTTCAAAATGCGAATAAAAAAGTGATAAACTTGTGAACGCAACAATTATATATCACCTTGGCACAAACAGTTTCAACCTGCGGGAAAGCGCGCAAGTGAAAAGATTATTTTCTTATGAAGATTATTTTTAAGCATTCAAAGTTTCAAACTTAAGAACGCTACAAATCCAATAAATAAATAGAAGAACAATGTTGTTTTGCTCTTACTTGTTGTTCTATGGGTATGCTCCACGAATCATATGCACCACCTCCAATTTCACTTCAAAACGATTTAATTCGAAGTTATTCGAAGTTTCACTTCATATTTTTAATGCTAATAATAAAGATATAGTCCTTAGTACATAGGGGTGCTCAGGTGCCCAATAACAAACTTTTCAGTTTTTGCCGCCACAAGATATTCACTATATTATTGACTTGAGGCTTGAGAATTTGCTGCATTTATGACTTGTTTCCATGGACAACTGGTTTAGTGTTGATTTGGTCCTTTGGTTAATCTATTTAATTGGAGTCGCGTTCTTGGACATATGCCAAGTGTCCATATGATGAGATGTTTAGCATATTATTTAGAGTGAATTGAGTTAGACTAAATTGTTTTGTATTAATTGTATGAGTCCATTAATTTAACATTTCATTCTTTTATAATAGTAACGTTTAGACTTCAACTAATGAATCATTCACAAATTTAGTTGAATTTTTTTTTCATTCTTCTATAATAGTAACGTTTAGACTTCAACTAATGAATCATTCACAAATTTAGTTGAATTTTTTTTAGGAAGCGGTTCAGCTTAGCTGGTCGCCGACTCACTCTCCCTTATGGGAGGTCTCGGATTCGAAACTCAATGGAGTGAGTTTCAGCCCAGTTTACTTTAAGCCTCCCATACCCCCCTCCCCCAGACGCTCCCTGGAGTTTAAAAAAAAGTTGACTTTTTTACATTGGGAAACTGCATAATATGATGTGCATAGGGGTGGAGGTATGCCCATAGTCAAGGGGGGCATCTCCCTTCCCTGGTTTTTTTGTTTTTTGTAATAGTGTACTCCTCCGTCTCATTAGAAGGCTCCCACTTTCCTTTTTTGGACATCCCATTAGAATGTTCTCATTTCCATTTTAGAAAACAATTACCAATCTTAAGTGACAAATTAATCATTAAATATTAAAAATAATACATGTATAACATCACAGTTATCAATACTAACTACTTTATAATATATACTTATTAAAATTATTCTCAATATATACATTATAATATATACTTATTAAAATTATTAATATAGTATTATTTATCATTTTAGCCCCCCCCCCCCCCCCCCCCCATACTAGATAGTACTCCATATTATGCAAGATTAGGGAAGAAAATCATGCGCTTGCTGTGCGGCTAGTTTTAGACCAAGCGATTAGATGAACCCCATTTAAAACATAAGCCCTGACCCCTGAATAATACTACGTATTTATTAAATATTACGGAGTACCTAATATTTTTTGCTTAAATACTAAAAATCCAAATGTGGCTACTATCCAACTTCTAGAAGTTTGGAAATTGCAAAGATACACAATAACATTAACTCAACATAGGTACAACTAAACTACATCTAGTATTCTAGACTTCTAGTTACACCAATTAGTGAACTAATTGATTAATTCATTATCATATCTATTGTTTTATATAGTAAAACACAGTTATAAACAGCTGACATGTCACTCTCCTATTGGTTAACAAAATTAATATTAACAATGCTAGCTACATTAAAGCAATTAAATTGACCGAATTAAAGTGACAGAATTATACTACAACACAAACATTACAATTGGATTATTACACGGAACTAGTGACGGAATTATCGTGAACTAATTCGTTGCCTGCCATGTTAAGTTAACCCATATAGATATTTTACCATTAAATAAACTCAAATGAACTAACGTGGTACATGATTAATTTAAAATGTACTCTCTCCAATTACAATACAACACTTCTTGCTTTCATCTTCTATCATGTAATAAACAGATTCAAGCCTATAATTTTTTTTGAAAGAAGCCTAAAAATAATTAATTACTCCAACAAATAGCATATAACATCACAATATAATGAGAAAGTTCAAATTCTAAAGAATAGGTGATTCCTTACCCCCAAGAATCTTAAATAAAAAACACAATTGATTTATTGATATCTACGTGTAACACTGGTCACTCTTTGATAATGTTCGTAAATCAACTTAATTACTTCTTCCAAGTTACTTTTAAGTGGTGAAAAGACAAATAAGTTTAAGTTATAGCAAATTTATAAAGTAGAATTTGTGGAGCGTAGTGTTCTCATCAGGCCAGGTTGAAGGGAATCGACTTGAGGCCGATGCCATTTGGAGTCCTTCTCGATGAAAGTTTTTGATAAAATTTTTAGAACATGTTCTTCATCAAATTTAGATGAAAAACTTTAATGAAAATAATAATAATAATAATAATAGTAATAATAATAATAATAACAATAAAACATAATGTATATTAATAATAATAATAATAACTACAAATAATAACAATAAATAATAATAATAATAATAATAATAATAATAATAATAATAATAATAATAATAATAATAATAATAATAATAATAATAATAATAATAATAATAATAGTAATAATAATAATTAAAAATAACAATAACAAAAACAACAATAATAATTATAATAGTAATAGTAATAATAATAATAATAATAATAATAATAATAATAATAGTAATAATAATAAATAATAATAATAATAATAATAACAATAGTAATAATAATAATAATAGTAATAATAACAAAAGTAATAATAATATAAATAACAATAGTAATAACAAATAATAATAGTAATAGCAATAATAATAATAGTAATTTAATAATAATAATAATAATAATAATAATAATAATAATAATAATAATAATAACAATAACAATAGCAATAATAATAGTAATAGTACGTGATAATAATTTTAATAAAAGTAATAATAATAGAAATAACAATAGTAATAGTGACATTGAAGTGACAGTGATATTGATAGTAATAGTAATGGTAATAAAAATAGTAAAAATAAAAACAACAACAAAAACAATAATAACAATATTAATAATAATAAACCATATTGTTGAGTATGTGGTTTTGTTGATGACTAACCATATAGGTGGAGAACCGCTCCAGTTTCATAAGGAGCTAAGGATAGAACTATTCTTTCACTAACCATGCAGGTGTACTAACACGAGTACTTGACAGAACTGTAGATGAAACTCATATGCGTTCTGAGCGAATCATTTATGAAAGTGAAAAACGTGCATGCATGATTTACGTAACAATATTTAAATTTAGCTTTCATAAATATATATATATATTGCCCTTTTTGGTTTTATACTTTATGGAGAGAATCTCAACTTGCATGATTTACGATTTAGGCTTGCATGAATATATTGTCCTTAATAAATTAACTTTTTAATTAAGTCTTTATGGGAAGTGGTGATCTTTAGTTAAAGGAAAGTTTCCTTTGATGAAATACTCGAATATTCTTGCCACCTTTACATTAGTTGACCAGATCATGTTATATGGACATATAAAAGGGTTTTCTTACTAATTATATCAAATGGGATATTTTCGGTTGATTGCCTAAGCATGTGGGTTGACCGATCATGGCCTAATTGCTTACCATAATCAGCCTTTAGTAATTAATCATTTGATTAGATATTTTGAATAGTGGTGTCTAAATATGACCCGATTGATCTCATAATAGGCAAGTAAATTGGTACCATTCTTTAGGTTGCTGAATAAGTTACTCTCCATAATAAACGTGCTCGATAATTCAAAAATGCTTGAAGTCTTTTGATTATGACTAACGAATGTTTTTAGCTCCAAAAATGACAAGTGATAAAAAAGGAAAGGAATTCAAAATTCAGCATAGCAAGGAAAGGAGCCAACGTTTATCAAAAGCAGAGCTATATATATACACAAGATGGTGGTTCATTGAAGAGCGTTCGAGAAGAAAGAGATTAAAAGAATAATCACTCAAGAGAAAAGATCAAGTCCATAGTGCCTGAAACTGCCTACACGGAGTTCTAGATAGAGTTTTTCTTTTCCCTTTCATATTGTACTTGGAATATTGAGGCTTAATTGGCTAGAGTAGCTGCCTCGGGTTAAGTGTGTGTGAGAGCTTTGTGATAAAGCTGAGAGGCTCTCTACCCGCAAGGTAGAGATGCATAACTCTTCCTAGAGAGGATAGAGTTGGGGAGGCTCAAGGGTAGATTAGGAGAATCACTCTTGTAACTCTTTCAAAGGCTTGTTTAGTGAAGTTGTTTAAAATTCCTCCGAGGGAGGTCGAGGTTTTTCAATCCCTTTGAGCCAAGGGATTTTTCCTCGTTAAATTCTTGTGCCTTTACTATTTCGCAATTCCCTTTATCCCACACTAGAACTCGGCGAAAAACTGCCACGGTTCCACACACACACAATTCACCCCCCCTCTTGTGTTGCTAACCGTTTTCATCAATTGGTATCAGAGCCGGTCTTCACCACATAGAGGCTAATACCTTGGGAAGAGATCCGGCAGAATGAATACGGTTGACCGATTAGAAGAAGGGTATTCGACTCAACGACCACCATTGTTCAATGGCAAATACTATCAATTTTGGAAGAGTCGGATGGAGAACTTTATCAAGGCCGATAACTATCAGGTTTGGAATGTAATAGAAAGTGGTGATAATGTCATCATGAAGAGAAACGCCGAAGGTAATGTTGTTCCTAAACCTAAAGTTGAATATACTTCTGAAGATTATGAGAAACTCGAGCATAATGCCCAAGCCCTTAAATATCTAATTTGCGGTCTTGGTCCTGCCGAACACAATCGGGTTCTAGGATGCAAGACTGCAAAACAAATGTGGGATTTGCTCGAGGTCACTCATGAGGGAACCTCACGTGTAAAAAAATCTAAGATTGACATATTCATGCGTAATTACGAATTATTCGTAATGAAGCCAAAAGAGTCAATTAAGGATATGATTACACGCTTTACTAACATTATCAATGAGCTTTCAGCCCTTGGAAGAGAAATTACCGTGGAAGATCAAGTGAGAAAGATTTTGAGAAGCCTGCCCCAAGTGTGGAAGCCTAAGACCACGGCTATTGAAGAAGCAAAGGATCTATCCACCATGACGCTTGAAGACTTGACTGGATCACTCTTGACATATGAACTAGGTCTTCAAGAAGAACAAGATGCCGAGAGTGCTAGACGAGAAAGAGGAATAGCTCTAAA